ATACTATTAATTCAGATTTGAAAAATCTAAGTTCAGACTTATACTCTAAAAACATCAACTGTACACATAAAATATATACTTTTTTTTGTCTATGTAAATTACCAGATCAACTATACTCATGCACAGAAAGTCTGTCTACCAGTTAGTCAGATCAGAAAGAAAATTAACACTTGGTTTTTTTATTGAGCCAAATATAGTACCTCTTTAAATTATATTTTAACTATAGTAACCTAGGTGAGTCTTTGACCACTCTAGTAGGTTTAGATCACAGATAAATTTTTCCTTGTCTGAGCTCTTATTCTTGCATATAATTTTTATTTTTATTTGTACTACTACAAATAGTAGTATCTTTGTAAATTTTATATTTAGTAGTTTAAGGATTAGTCTTGACTACAAGTAGAAGTCTCAGTAACTATGTTGTAGTAATCTATATTGTTACTATTTAAAAATATTACTAATAAAGATATGAGCAAAGCCTCACCTTAAAACTAAAAAAAAAATATATATATATATATTTTTAATATTAAAGTGACCACATTGTCAGAATCTTTATTAGTTTATATGCTAAGTTGCACTTAGTCAGCTGCTACTTATTTAGTATATGATTTTGAAAAATACAACTAACTACATGTATAATTTTTGGTTGCCTATTTAAGTAGTTCACCCAAAGGTTTTATACTAGCTACCATATCTATAATCCAACTAGAGAATTATCTATTTAAACTTCTGTACTACTATATTTTTGTGAGGCCCCAATTCTATATTTAGATACAACCAACCTAGGGCACCAAACCTGTTTATTACCCTTGAAGTAAACTTACTAGAGCTTTCTATATCCACAATATGGCTAATCTAAATTTTTCAATAACTTATATCTAGTCTGAGAACAAGTACTTGTGATTTGAAACCACTACTATTACCTACTTCTTGTCTTTATAGAGTTTGCCCAAACTCTGGTACTTACTTAATGAATTACTAGCTCTACTTCTGGTTTACTAAACTTCCAATTCAGATAGCCCAGAAGGGCTGTATTCTGCCTCTTGTTCTCATAGTTAGGTCCTTTTCTTTTGGTTACTTTTCTAATAGCCTGGTTGTAGAGTGTCTTGTCAAACACTTTAGTCTTGTTCAGTTTCCCTTTTTCCAGATAATAATCTGATATGTAGTACTAGCAAGATTTGTGCTATCTCTTTACTCTGATCTTGCCAAGCAGACTTTTATATTTCAATCTGCTGGTTGTACTTGGCTGCTTTACTATCTTATAACTTATACATTACACAGTATTTCTACAGCCTTTCAGTACAAGCTAGTACTGGTATGATCCTGTTATAGGTGCTAACATAATAGGATACAGTCTTCAAATGCATTCTGTAAATTCAAATTTTGTTGATAGTAGGTTTCAAACTCTTGTCCTGCTGCTTGGGGGTGTGACAACTTACTAACTTCACTAAATTGTCACACCTCTATATTTTATATTTTCAAAAATAATTTACTTTATATAAAACCAAATGTATTAACTACTTGGATTTTTTATAATGTTTTTTAGTTTTTGATTTTATTTTATATTTTATATCTTTTTCTATTTTTTTTATATCTTTATTATTATTATTATATTTTATTATAAACTTCTAATTCTTATATATCTGCTATAATTTTTTTAGTATTTTTAAACTTTCAGTTTTTTACCTTAATATATTATTACAAGTTTTGATTCTGATTTTTTATTATTTTTTTATAATTATTATACAATAATTTTATTTTTTTGTTAGAGCTTTTCTAACTATTTTTGCATTATTTTTTTATTTGTTTTCTTTTTATTTTTCTTTTTAATCATTAGTTATTGATTCGTGAATCCACCAGGGTGGCCACGAATTTTTCGGGTCACATGATGATCGACGGCAAATTTATCCAATGGGAAATCGTAATTAAGTGTAACGTAACACGATCAGGAAGTCCAAAACAAACATTCATTTTGACAAAAAACATCCTTTATCTCAAGAATTTACATAAGAATTCGCCTTTTGTGCTCTAATTAAAAGTTTTTCTCGACTAATTTTACTACATATTTCTTATCTCCAAACTCTAAATACGGCACTACCCCTAACTTTAACGAATTTTAGAATGTTTTGTTATTATCACGTGACCCGAAAAATTCGTGGCCCCCTGGTGGATTCTTGCTTCGTGCTTATTTGTAGATTCTTAATTATATTACTGAATTTTTTATAAATTCTTGATCTTTTCTTATAGCTTTTTAACAAGCTTTGTTATTCTAATTGCTTATTTTTATTTAACTTTTGAATATATTTTACATTTTTTATTATGATAAACTCTTTTAAACCCTTTCTTAATCATTTTAATATTTCGATTACAGTTTGTTCTTTTCTAAAGCTTTTGAGTTTTTTTTTTTTATAAATTTGGATCTCTTTGCTGCTTGATTTTTTCTCTTGATATAATCTTAATTCTTCTTGTAGCTTTATAAATTGATTTGTTGCTAATTCTATTCGTCTTTGTTCATTTTTAGAATTGTCTTTTTGATGTTGCTTTACATGATGGTTTTCTTGTTTTCTATTTGTTACTTGTTTGACGTTATATTTGTCACGTGGCGTTTGATATAATATTTTTAAGATATTATAATAGTTTTATACGTAACTATTATAGTTATCAAAAAAATCTTTGCATAAAACTGAAATTAAACTTTGCATAAAACTGAAATTCAAAATTTTGATATTAGTGATATTATTGATTTTCTAATGTGCTACCACATAAATTTAATAGCTAAAACCGACTGAATCATTTTTCAATTTGTGAAAATTAAAGAATGGGTACAATCAAATAATCAACATAATTTGTGTAACAGATCAGAGAATATCGGTTTATATATGGAAACAAAAAGGGTTTAAATAGAGTAAATCTTGAGTACATAACGAATCACAATTCCTAATATGGAAAAGTTTTGGATGAAGTAACTAATAGATTACAGTTTTGTTATAATTTGTGACAATGGTTATATTATAATTCTTTACGCATGATATTCTTTAAGACTGCATGTTCTCCAAAAGAGTTTGACATACATACGTAAATTCTTGTTAGATAGTAAAATAGGAATTTATTGCAAATTGCAAACATTGGAATGTAGAATACACGAATCTAAATTAGCATTGAATTAAATTATACAGGTTTATACACAGGATTTGCTAAATTACACGCATAAATTTGATCATAAACTATTGTAATTAAATGATATTACGCATAGTCCATAGTGAATTTATAATAATGATCATCGTGTCAAACCAAACTGTAAATTAAATTACCGTGCTAGTGTGTAAATATTGGTTTTAATAAATTAAGAGAAAATCTTACGTTTAATTCAAGAATCCACATTTGGTGACGGCACACTGACGATGACACTAATGATTAACACTGACAATAATTACATTGAATAGAATAATATTTACAATTCGGAGAGCGCAACTATTAACCGAAGGTTTTATTGAACCTAAACATTAAAGTGTTCGATTAAGTCTTTGAACACTAAGAAGCAATAGCTTTCATTTTTTTTTTTTTTTTTTTTTTTTTTTTTTGAGAATGAAAATGTACAGTACGAAACATTAAATTAATTAAAGTAGTAATTTTTCTATGATTGTTGGTTGCAAATGTCTTTCACTATCATGCTTTTGATGAAAAGTTACAGACTATCTATTGCGTATTAGCGATCAATTACTATATGTGTGTCTAAATAAAGAAACCAGCATTATATAAGCCGGATACATTACTTTTGTTTTTTTTACAAATTATCTATTAACATCTGAGACCTACAATCATCTACAGGATTAAACAATATTGTAATGAATGAAATCTAATCATATTCGAAATGCTTGATGCCGTTTTTTGATAGTGTTCCTTGACATAATACTATATCGAAGTGAAGTCAGCGATGGAAATTTTGATGAGGATGATAGAGAATTCATTAAATTATCTAACTCGGTTTTTGCTTTTTCACAACCAATTTCAAGAGCTTTTTGATACCAATATATAGCCTTATCAATATTTTTAGGGGTTCCAATTCCAGCTTGATACCTTCTTGCTAATTGTATCATTCCCCAAACATTTCCTCTTATTGCAGACATTCTATAATATTCAATTGCTAGGGATAAACACAGTTCGGTGCCTTTTCCGTATTCATAACAAATTCCAAGTCCATGGTATCCGTAACCACTTCCTTGTTCAGCGCATTTATTATACCATAGAAATGCTAGATCTTCATTTTCATGTGTGCCTATCCCAAAAAAATAACAATCTCCTACCATTTCTTGAGCGATTAAGTAACCTTTCTTTGCAGCAGCCAAAAATAATGAGAATGCCTTTTTCTTATCTTTCCTACAACCAATTCCTACTATTAAAAAGAAACCAAGGAGACTTTTATAATGAAAAGTATTTTGATTTTCGTATAGCCATTGATATATTTGACTTGTTTCTACTCTATAATTTTCTATAGACATTGTAAGAATAGTTTTTAGCTTTTTATTTGATGTGCATTTAAGTTGTTCTTGCAAAAATATCGATAATAAAACATCAACAATTTCTCTTATGGGATCCTCAATTTTTGGATGATAATGTGGTGATGGACATAGTCTTTGTAATTGTTGATCAAAAAGTTGCGAACTTATATGAGAACTTGAACTTGCTATAGATATTCTAGAGCACCGTCTCGAAGAAGGTTTAGAAGTTAAACCTCGAAAATTTGTTGAACTTGCAGAACTTAATGTTGCCATTGTTGGTTTCTCGAATATTCTGTATTTAATAATAATGAATTATTATCCTTAACTAATTCTTGAATGCTTCTTTGAACTTGGAATATATTAAGTTTTTTATGAATACGATAGGATATGGTGATTTTATCAAAAAATCTTTTACTAGACTTTAGTTTAAAAGGCCAAAACGCTGTGAAAGTCCGGAGTTACGTACGATATGAGTAACGAAATATATTCTAAATAAATGCTTGGTTTTTTGTGAATGTGTACCCCTCGAATATGTTTTGCATAAACTTGCATCTTACCTTCTTTGTCTTATGTTGTTCTATGCAGAATTATCGTCTTTTAGTTTTCTACTGTTGATTTGTTATGCATATGTATTTCATAATACACTGTCGTACACGATATACAAACTACTTGAAGTGGTAGTTCTTATTTCTCCGCATATAAAGGAATAATGTTGCACTGACCAGCGCCTAATCAATATACGTGTTCAAAATTGATTCCTTAGTTA